AATTATGTTTTAATTGTGTTAAAGCCATGTTTGAATTAGAGATTCCAAAAAGAGGAAAACTAGTGATCCTGTGTCTTGAACTTCACTACCTACCATTCTTACTTCTCACAGGGGTAAAACCAAGCTGGAGCAATCAAGAATGCAGCTCTGGTGCTTTTTAACCAGGTAGAGCAACGTGTCACCACTTTCACACAGGTTACCTAAGCAAGTTATACATATATATGTATATATATATATAATCACTTTTTAATGGATTTTGACTGGCCTGCATGCTCTTCAGCTATGTACCTTCCCTATCCATTGCAAGACAGTAGAAACATGCACAGCTGCTCTCTGCTGAGTCACGAGACTCACATCACAGCATGGTCAGGTGGGATTGGCAACCCCAACATATATTTTTTAACTCTGCTAATGATCTTTCTGAATATTTTAATACAGTTTTTAGCAATAACTGCATGCTCTTCAGGTTTTGAAGTATGGATCATAAAAGTACTGGAATGTTTTACGCTAAAGAAGCCAAAGAAAAAGGGAGCATGCATAGTTTTTAAAAATAAAAACAACCCTTTTTGATTCAGCCCTTATAAATGTAAATATTTAATGAAATGTATTAAGTGATTTATGAAATTATTATGGCCATGACTTCAGCTCCTTGTTGAATAACATTTGATTTATTGCAGTAGCTACTTGCTTAAAACTTACAGTGTTAAACTTTTAAAACTACAGTGCACTGTAATGCAAATATCCAAGATCCTACAAACTACACTGTTTTCATTTGGACAGTGCATATCTTGAGTTTTATAAACTGAAAGCAGAGAAAACAGTTTCATAATTTCTAAAATGACAGCAAATAACTCTCCTTAACGCACTCTCAAAGCTAAACATTTTACAAATCCTCTTTTCTCTAATCTTAAACTCGTTCATAAATAGTGGTTTTTTGGAAGGTGTTTCACAACAGTGGTCTGTAAATGAGTTGGAGGGCTTCCGTGTAAATTAGAAAGACTGTAGAGTAGTCAACGTAGTTTTTATAAAATTTCATGTATATTTACCCTGAGGCTTTTTTTCATTATAGGCAAACATGCCCTCCATGGATGAGTAATTGGCAGAGCCTTGAGGAGTAGGGACAGCACAGGAGTCAAAGTTACATGAAACTAAGGAGGTCAAATTATCCTAGTAAAACTAGGCATCAAAATTTTGAGGGGATTGAAATTTCAGTCCTATAGCAGGATTGAAAGCTATTTCCTTCAGGCAGTTTACTGGCTTCAAAAGGATCACCAAGCAGTTAATTTTGTACCCTTGATTATAGTGCAGTATTATCTACCTATATTATATTGTAGTCTAAATTGCCCAGAGATGCCAAAAGAAATTAATATTGGTATGTATTCTGAAAATTCTCAGATTTTATTGATTAAATTTTAAACCAAGATATGCTCTAAACATCAAATAAAACTCTAATGAAAGAGATTTTTAAAGTAATTTTCTTAATATTATATAAAAATCAAAGATCATAACATCTGAGATTTAAAGTCAGTTTAGAATCATCGGTTTCCATAATTTTATATTTTTTCACTCAATTACAGTGCAGCTTTCAAGATTCAAAGGATAAAACCACATGGCTGGATTACTGAAGGCAATTTGTAATGGCTGAATCCCTTTATTTTATTGTCACTTGAATCATGAAGCCATTTGTAAAGCTTAAAATTTTAGTAGCCTGCTCTTGCTCTTATTGAAATCAAGAATAGAATCAAATGAGAGCAAGACTGGGCCTTAAGTGAATGCTTTTTCTTGTAAATGGGCACACTAATACGCTGTTGGTCAAAGCTTGTTTTAATGATCAAAGCTGTTGGTAAAAGATGCATTGCTCTGAAAGGACATTATGGAGGCTGATTATACACACATTAACCAAGTATTTGGGTTTTGGTGCTGAAGCATTTTTTCTGTTATATTCTACACAATAATATTTATATTACTGTTTTCAGCAAAATATAATCCCATTGAGGTAGTCTGGGTGTTTTTTTTTATTTTTGTGTGTGATTTCCACAGTATTGCTCAGGCTTCTGCTCTAGTCAAGCATGTTGTTTTGCTGATTCAGGCCTTGAGAATGCTGCATCATAAGCAATCGCTTTCAAATGTTTCCTTATAGAGGAAAATGTGATATCATGGAAGATGCAAATAAGTGTTTATAGGCCATGGTGTGTTCTAGAGGCTGATAATCACATTTATGAGCTGAAAAGAAGGTTGTGCTAATCTATCATGTATCTTGAGCTTCCTATTAACTTTATTAGTTTCATTGCTAGAAAGAATATCATTAATGTCACCTTATTTAAAATGTATTGGTTCTTTCCTAATTTAGGGTCTTGAAGCAAAGAAGAGGAGTTTTATTAACTAATGAGGTTTTTTTCTTAAAAATACAGTTGTTTGAGATTATTTGAAAAATAGTGAAGGGAATGCTTTATGTGAAAATTATTTAAGAGAATTATAGTAGTTTTTTTTTGTTATAAATTGCACTTTTGTCATATGGTTTTTTAGCAACTATGCTGACAGGACTATCTGCAGCAGAGTTTACATGGAAAGATGCAGTTAAAAATTTGATTGCCTTTTAATTTGCACTCCTAGATTTAGAATTGATGCTTACTGTGAACCTTTGCCTTCCTGCTGTAAAGTCAGTAATTGATTTAATGATGATGGATCAGGCCATGAATTAGTTTTAATTTTCCTAACTTGAATGTAACAGATAATTATTTTCACAACATTTGTTTTTTATTTAATGGAGAAACTGCCTATAATTTCAATGAAAAGTTTCAGACTTCTTATTTCTTGCTATTTCTATGATATATAAAAAGAGAGTTAATTCACAAGTATTATTTCCTTTTTAAAAGACAGAGAACCTTATGTGTGGATAATAAGGTGGTGTGCTAATAATGCTTAATATAGCATACGTTACTGGGCACTTCGTTTTGTAAATGTAATATAGATCATGAAATTCATGAAATTTAAAATATTCTCACAATGTAAGATATGCAATATTTTATTCCAGACTTACAGATTTACATGACCAGTAATAAATGATTCCATTTAGAGGCAATAAGTCTGTAACTATTTTACATATATAAATTCTGGAAATCATAGAGGAAGCGGAGTATGAAAAAATGAAACAAGGAATTTTAAAACGTTTACTAAACAAAACCCCTAAACTTTGGAGGCATCTAGTTCTCAATGTATTTATCAAAATCTTTTCACATTTATCAGGATTTTCCATGACAGATGATGATATTTAAAAAGGGAAAGAGTGGTTTTGAAACTCATACCTGTGTGCTTGTCAGAAATCTTTTCTATTATGTGACAAGTCCTTTATTTTTGGTCACAATGCGGTAACAACCTGATGTCTGAGTGACCCTATATTGATTACATTTGCACATGTGTGCAAAAGGCAGCTTTTTGAAAATTAGCCCTGAAAATTAACCATTACTCAACATGACTTTTAGTTTAAACTTCATTCATCTAATGTAAGAGTTGAATATGAGGAAAGAATTGATTACAAAGCTGTATTAAGATATATGTGCTATTTACTTAATTCTTGGCAGAGAAAGCCCTTAGCTGCCAATATATTCTCCTGAAGAGACTGGGTTTTAACTGAAGAGTTAAATAACTAGTTTTAATTTGCAGCAGTGTCTCTGAAGAAGAAGAGACGACATGGAAATGCCTCTCTCAAAAAACAAGTTATTGTTTATTATTTGTTGCAAAATCCTTCAAATCCTCTGAACAGAAGGGTTTTTTTATATTCTAAAAATATCACTATCTTGAAAACTAAATGCAAAACGTGGTTGGTATTAAGCATTCTCTCAACAAAATTGTATAGAAAGGTCTTCATCCTTTCTCTACATGGCCTTCATCCAGAGGTCAAAGGACATGACCAGATTTGCTAAACTAAATCCACAGGTCTAGTCAATATCTGTACAATTTAAAGTATTTAAGTTAGAGGTGCATTCTACATCCCCCGTTGAAATTCCTATGTACTACTGCTACACAGGGTAAATCAGAAGAATTTCACTGCCATGATTTTTTTTTTGTTGCTTTCTGATTACAAGCCTTATTTCACTGTTAAAGAGAATCTATTTTGGATGGAAACAATTAAAGACACAACAGTATTGACAACTGAAAACAAATTATAAACTCTGTCTGATTATTGTATTTGGTGTGTGCATTTTTAGCAGGTTTGTCCTTTCAAAATATGCTTTCTTAAAAGGACAAAATTATGGGCAGTCTTGCATGACTGATGAACAGTTTGACCTGATCAGAATTTGAATGTACTTGGTAAAAAGTTTCTTTATTTGAGTTGTTTTATATCACTCTCCAATTCTCGCAGTTTTTAGATCTAGAAGTGCTTTTACTGTAGTAAGGGCTATAGTATTTCACTGTACAAAAAAGTAGTAGAATGACAGAAAAATTTGGGGTAGAACGGACATCAGGAGGTCTTTCAATAAGCACACAAGACAGGAATGCAAAGAAGGTATTTTGGATCTGTTAATTTGTGCTTTATGCAAAAATTAAATTGTGCAGAAAATTGCAATTAAATGCTATTACATTTACAGCTTTTAAATCCAGATAAGGTGTATGTTAGTGGAGATTTCTGTTAGTTCATTTCACTCAGAAAACTAAGACACATTTTCAGTGTAATCCAGTATAATAGTAAAGAAAATTAAGTAATTTGAGAGTTGGGTACATGCAGACTCTGCCGTTTTAATTCTGTTGAGAATTCTTCAGAAGTCATATACATGGATCAGGTTAGTAGCGAAATTATATCTAATTGTTCCCTATGAGAAGATAAACTGGGAAACAGAACTGTACAATGTACATGTCATTACTGTGGTTTTACTTTTGGTGATGCATATTTGTAAGTTTACCATTCTTCAAAAGTCAGACTGGCATGATTTGATTCAGTACCATTTCTTACAGAATATGTATCTAATGAGAAAAATTGTTCTGTGGAACTTTACTTGCAGAAACTAAATGCATCAAGCTCATCAGAAGGCAGCACAGTTGATATTGCTCCTCCTGGAGAGGGCGAGCAAGCAGAAATTGAAAGTGAAGAAGCTCTTGAACCAGAAGCCTGTTTTACAGAAGGTTGTAGAATAACTGTTCACTTAAGAGATGTATTGCTAAAATGACTTTATTGCTAGGCATATGTAAGTTCTTCATGACCTCAAAAATCAAAAGAAAGTACTTTTATCCTAGAATGCTGGAAATCAGAAAAGAAGGTTTCCCTAGTCTTTAAGTAACTTTATCTATCTGGCCACTGCATACATTTTGTAATGAAGAAATGTCATTAACTTTTCTGCTGTTAAAATGCTTTTCGGTTATTTGAAAGGGCCCTTTAAATTTGGAACAAATAAACTATTGTGCGACTCCACCAACAGTTGGAACAGTTACATGCTAGCAGTCAAAAAAAAAATCAGTGTTTTTTGGATCGAGTTTACTCATAATTATGTCTACTATTTTCTGGTTTATATCAAGATTAGTTATCTAAATTCAGATATTCATCATCATATGTGATTTGATATCCTATTAAGCATTCCAGTGACTAATTAAAAAAATATTATAAAATTAGTTAAAACTTTTAACAATATTGATATGACAGTAAATGTTGACTTTGAAGTAACTGCCTTTTGGATCCTAATGTCTCTTAATCTAATGCAGGTTGTGTGCAGAAATTTCCGTGTTGTCAAGTAAGTATAGAGGATGGCAAAGGAAAAACTTGGTGGAATCTTAGAAAGACCTGCTACAGCATAGTTGAACACAACTGGTTTGAGACTTTCATTGTATTCATGATTCTCCTCAGCAGTGGAGCACTAGTAAGTAGAACAAAATTGCAGATGCTGATATATTTAGATATCTCTTTAGGAGCCACAGCAAAAATCAAATTTGCTTCTGAAAGACTTGTTTTGCTTGGAGCTGTATAAAACTCCCTGCATTTTATCATTTCAGGATGGAATGAAACTTGACCTAAACTTGAAAAAGTTTGATAAATTTCACATGCACCTTTTTAGTGATACATTTTTCTTATCAGTGTAAAACTAAAACTTGTGCAATTTTGTCACTCAAAGCCACTCAAAGTTTAAATTGCCTGCCAATTTTCAGCATGTTTGTCAAGAGGGCTGAGTACAAAGGACTGTTAACTGGGAATATATTACTAAATGTATGGTTTTAAATCCTTAATTCCTTCTAGGCTCAGCCACTCCTTGAATTTTCCTTATGAAAGACCATACCAAAAAATGAAATAATTGCTTCATTCTGTTTCTTTTTTTTGAAGGCAGGAGCTATGGAACAATGCAGCAGCAAATTAAACTTAACAACCACTTTTCAAAAAGATTTATATTACCTGTCTTTCCAGCTTTACTCAAGTTGAACAGTTGTTACAATATGCATAGATGTACATTCTAGCAAATACATTGCTTTTTAATTTGACTTTTAAACATATGTTTGATTGATGGAGGGTAGAAATGGAATCCTTCTAGGGGCTTTCTAGAATGCAATAGACATATCTAAAACTGATGTTCTGTAGGAAAGGGTTGGGGGTTTTTGTGTGTATATGTGAAAGTTTCTTAATACCACAGAGGATAAAAAGTTTATTTCTTCATACATTGCTAAAATAGAATATACATACATACATACACATATATATATTTTTTTTCAACTCCAGACAGGGAAGAATAAATAATATTGCTCTAACTTGTAATATGATTAAAGATGGGAAAGATATAAAATAAGAGGATGAATAAGAACAAGGGGAAAGATTAGCTCTAACCTACTTATTTATATTATTTATTCCTTAATTTTATCATCCATATTCTGTGAAATAGTAGTAATGCCTGGATATATTTTTATAGGCTTTTGAAGATATATATATTGAACAACGCAAAACTATCAAGACCATGCTGGAATATGCTGACAAAGTTTTTACGTATATTTTCATTTTGGAAATGCTTTTAAAATGGGTAGCATATGGTTTTCAAATATATTTTACTAATGCCTGGTGCTGGCTGGACTTCCTGATTGTTGATGTAAGTACGCAGTCATTAATATTGTAAAATTCACAACAGTAAAGTTTTTGATGTTGTAAAATTCATTACCACTAACTAATCTTATAAACATGCAAAACTAATTCACACTGTATAGTTATACTGCCTTAATAATAGCCTGCAGTGACCTGGAGGTGTTATTTGAAGTACATTCATGTGTCAAAAGGAAAATGATGGCTGGACGTTCTCCATGGTTAATAATTTCATACCCATGATGTATCAAGAGATTTTATGAAGAAAAAACCTAGTTTTTAAATATGTTATCTTTATTCCTTAGCAAATAAGACAGTTCATTGTTCAAGTTTCTTCTGCAAACACTGCAACTTTTCAAGTGCAACAAAATACATTTGGTCCGGATTTCATCTGAGTTCTCAGAACTTTCTCCCTCAAAACTATCCTGTTACCATTTGTAGTAAAAACAGAAAGGAGGTGGCTATGTGGTCTAAAAATTAATTAGTTTTAATAGGCTGACAATCTGCAATAGTTAAATCAGCTGTGACTTGGCAGGGTTTATGACAGAAGAGAATACAAGGTTTCTTGGCTGCCTTCCCAGCTGTGATACACTTCTGTGCAAAGGCCTTGCTTATGTTGTCAGAAGGGATCAAAGTTGGTTTTGCTCCCAGAATATTTTGGTTTCTTGCCTTCACACATTATCTGACCCAGTTCATTGGCTCTACATGTCCTCAGTGTGGAACTGAGAGATGGCATCTCAGGGCAATTTATAGTAATTTCTGTTCATGCTGCCATATTTCTTGAGAAGTTTGCATAAATCTTGGTCCTATCAATAGTTATCCCTTATATATGCAGAAATGTATGAGATTTGTAACTCGAACTAAACAAACAAACAAACAAACAAACAAAAAACTAGCTAGATTGGCCCATAACTCAAAATGAAAGACCACCTCTTTTTTCTAACCTGCTGAAGTAGAGATGCTCCTTTACAGGATTATGTTAAGAATGGATTTTTTTCAGATAAACTAAAATTCATATTTTAATTATTCTTTTTGTAACTTACACCTAAACAGATTATTCTAAACCATACTCTGTTTTTTTAGTTTAGTCTAAGAGATGCTTTTCTTTAGCACCATCAGACAGCACTTGGAAGAAATATGTGACCTCATGTTATCTTCCTGTAGAAAGGCAGAGAATCTCTGCTGCTTTAACAGACAGTTTAAACAGGTGTGATTCAGTGGCATTCTGCCAGTGAGAACACCAGTGTCTCCTTCCTCATTAGAAGTGACTAAAGTTAATCAAATCGTTTAATTCCATTCTCTAGAATTATTCAAGAGTAAACACTGATAATCCTTTAGGGCTTTGACCTTTAATATCTCAGATACCCGAGTCACTCACCGTGAGAAGTAACCATAGTTGCTCTCACTGTCTGTGACCAAATTAGATTTTAATAATTACACTAAGAAATGGTAATTTTCAGCTCTGTCAATTTACAGTTGTGACAGATGACTCCTGGTACATCTGCCTACCTCAGTTTAAGACTTTATCGTGCCATCTCTCCACTCCACTCTGCTTCCTGATGCCAGAATATCTGTAGCAAGGAGCAGATATTTGGGTGGAGTGGCTTATGTACCCAAAATCACAATCTGGTAAATTAGATCAAACACGTTTATCGGTGGTTTCAGCAAAGAGACTGAATTTTGTATCCAGACACCCCTGGATAACGGACATACTCACTTTTTTGGAGGAAAGCTAATCGTGACAGAGATGTCCAGAAAAGGTTTGAGACAACAATGTCTTAACCCAACGTAACTAGATTGTATGACACATGTCATCCTGTACTTTGGTTTTTGCTTTTACCCCTCCTTCCAGAAGCCATCTCTCATGAGTTTATTTTGTCTAGGTTTTAGGATACAGCTGTAATGATTTTAAGTTGTCTTTGCCACCAAGCTAGGAACTAACTAGGACATCAGGAAAGAAGACTGGGATGAATTTTTCAGTTATTACATTTGTTTGTGTAGTTTTCTGCTATGATGTGTAACCTTAGATAATCTTTAATTGATAACATTTTTTATGTATATTTTTAAACTTTATGAGTTGGTCCTATAATTTGGTCTAGACACTTTATTTTTAAATCACTGTGTTAATAAATCCTATATGCATGAAATGGAAATAAGCAACATTTAAAACAAATCATGTATTTGCCAAATACTGAGGGACAGTAATAAGTCTGTAAGTGGAATGAAATATTTGATGCCCCTGAAATTGCTCACACCTGATAGAATTCCACTGGGTACAAGTTTTGAACAATTAAATGTGAAATCCTCCAACTGGGCTTGTGTTATAGTATGTTAAAAGACGGTCATATTGATGGCCTGATTAATATTTCTTTCATATAGCTAAAAACGTTTCATGCTTTTTGTGAAACAGCTTTCAACTCTTTTGTTACCTTTCCAGAATAATTAACTCAGCAGCAACATTCTGGAAAATATCAAGGCCACATTATACTACTGCATTAAATGCCATGTGTATAGAGTAAGAAGCAACTGATGCCCTGACAACTTCATAGTCAAACTAATAAGAAATAAGAATATTGATGTTCTGGGAAACCAGATATATAAAGAAATGTCACTTTTTCTTCCTAGCCAGTCTCATATTTCATTATGTGCATCTTAACATGTTTGCTATCTGGCTTGGAAAATCCAGAAAATAATGATATTAATTAATTAATTCAAAGGGATATTCTGATGACATAGGCATAAACCCCAAGACTGTTGTTCAGTGAGTCAGGAAACAGAATCATAGCTTGCAATTATGCATCTAAACAAAATAAATTTTGATTACTTGCCAGTAAAACAGGTTAAATTAAGAGTTATTAATGAAGTACGTATAGAAATACATACATTTTAGCACAGGGCCATAATTAGCCCCATCCCCAAGCCGCATAGAATTCCTATGGATCAAACTTTTAGGCCTAAAAAGAAATAGAGTCAAACTGTGTGTGATCAATGGTCTGGCTCAGATGACAACCCTGAGTGAAGATTTTGAGCAGGCCTAATTGTGACTGCCAAGTTTCTACCTTAGAAGATAAATAAAGATAAGGACATACCACTCCGTAGTTTTAGGAGACAGATGTAAACAATCTTTCCACTATTTTGAGTTCATTTTCATTTCTTAAAATTACTGCATCTGCATGCATTCTTGTTTCAAAATAAAGAAATTAATCTAATTATCAGTGTATAGAGACATTTATTTTCTCACCTACTAGCAACAAAACAAGTGGAACAGATGAGAGAAGACCAAGCTGAGAAGACTAAGAACACCAGAGCAGTACAGAACAGCTGTATATCCAGTAGAATTCCAAGCAGATCTCTGTTTCTCGTATGAACTGTCCTTCAGAGGGAAACATGTTGTTTCCAACAGATGAAGTATTTCTCTTCAGGTTTATGGTGTAAGAGCATTAGCACCATCATAAGAAAGCTGCCAGTAGTTTTAGAAAGCACAAAAAAGACCTTACAGTCAGAACCTGAGAACTCTCAGTGCACACAGTGCTACTGAGTTTAGAGGAGCTCCAGTATCTAACTAGCTTGGAAGGAGTCTGGTTTGTGAAAGACAGCTAAGGCACGGTGCTAGTTTGGGGAGAAAGGTATAAAATGAAGTAGCCATTAATGTGAGTTCAGTTTTAAAAGAGATGTCTTACTCTCCCAGAGGGATTTTTTTAATATTTGTTTCATAGTTTAATTTTCATTCGTAAAATGTCCTGTCTTTACACTAAAGTTTATTGTCATGTCTGGGCATCTTGTTGATGTGAAAGAATAAATGAATATTCTATTAAAAATACAGAAAATTCCATGTCTTGTTATCTCTGGAATATATTAATAGTGGCTATGGATAAAAAAGAACTCTCTCACTGCAGAATCACAAGACAAATAAGGTGTACAAATGGCAGTTATTAATAACAATTAATGACAGTAGTTAATGTAATGGCAGAAACACTAATGTTATATCTTGTAACTGAACAGACTTCAGTCACAGACTACAGAAAATGAGTAAGATTTTCTTCCTAATATGCTTATAAATCACAGCAAGTTCCATTTATCCATTGCAGCAATAAAATAATCCTTTGATAAAAAGAATTACATCCTGGCATGTAATCCAGTTGAAATATACAGTGATATGAATTCACTAAAATACTATTTTCTGTTAGATTAATATATATAGCAACATAGTAATGAATAATTGATTTAATTTTGCTCTTGGCTTGTCCTTTTGAGACATGACCTTGTAACCTTTGTGTTTGTAATCATCTAATTGTTCCTTATGGATATAAGTAACATAGGAAACCCACGTTTCAAATAATGGACAAAATTTTACCACCCTTATCAGTGAATGCCTGTCTCTGTACAGCCTTTGAAGAGCTCTACACAGAAATGAACATTTGAGGAATTTTTTCAAGGACTGAAATATGTCTATGTTCATTTATGTGTCTTCCATGCTTTTGGTGGTAGAACTGAATAAAATATGAGTAAGGTATGATGTTTCCCCACTCCTGTCTCCAAAACTGCTCAAAGTAAATGAATTTCTTTCACATTAACACTGTCTATACCTCAGTTCCATTTGAAAAGCAAATTAATTGTGCCTTACTTCAGTGCATTGTCTTATAATAAAATCCCAGTAACATGCATCAGGATCTTACCTACTATGCTGTAGATAATAAAGCCCTTACTATGAGATTTATAAGGCTAGTTAAGGCTGTTAATATCTATCCCATAATTCCTATACAAAATATTATCTTATATAAAAAAAATAGTGATTTGTCAGGCAAGTGAGAAAGTACCACCTCTTTCAATACATATTTCAGAAATATCCTTGTTATTGTTGCTACAAACTGACTTAGAAGTAATATTTATAATAAATATTTTAAAATAACCACTAAAATATTTAGCATATTATTAGTGATTTTGGATATTCAGAAGATTGTCCGTAGTTAATCAAATATTCTAATATATTCAGAATTTTAAATTGTTTGGAAGGTTAAACATCAGTGAAGTTATGGAAAGTATGGCTATTTTGTCTTTATATATTCCTGAAAATCATATCCTTCGCTAAAACTGTGCTTCCATATGACTGTTAAACATCATTGAACCATAATAGGCATTTAATAGCATATATTCCTTTATCAACCATGCCTTTATGAGACCTTTATGAGTATGAAAATTGTAATTTTACAGTTTGTCACTGTTGATTTTTTTATTGGATCTGTTTGGTTGTTTTTTAAATAAACAGTGTAGAAACATTTCTAAATAATATTGTTTCTGTATTCTGTAGGTCTCATTGGTTAGTTTAATAGCCAATGCTCTGGGCTATTCTGAACTTGGTGCCATTAAATCACTACGGACTTTAAGAGCTTTAAGACCTTTAAGAGCCTTGTCACGATTTGAAGGAATGAGGGTGAGATAAAATGAATGAGTCTGAACGAATGTATGCATATAAAAATTCATGTGTTAATGGTTCCACTCATGCCTTCTTCAAAGAACTCCAGAATGGGAATGCATGCAAAAACGTGGAAAAAGGCCTTCCGACATGTCCTTATAAACAAGACCTGTGTACAACTTACATTTGGAGATCAGACCTTGTGCTCATTACATTTGCGTACTCACTGCTGCAGTTCTCTTATCCCAGCCCACTGACTGTTGAAATTTCCATGGATTTCTGGACCTAGAAAAGTAAATGGATATGACAGATTTTAGAACAAAGGATCGGAGTTTTTTTGCAGTTTAGCTGGGAACTTTTTTTATCAATTTCTGTAGCTAACTTCTGTTAGTTTGTCAGTGGTTCAGGATGGAACAGGATTAGACAGAAAAACCAAAACAAGATTAAGAAGCTAACAAGAGTGGCACACCAGAAACTAAAACTCACTGTGGCTCCCTGTCTATCTGCCTGGGAAAAAAAAGTCCCACAGTAAATGCTGTAGTATTAAGGAAAGATTTTCTGAACTGACACCTGAAATAAGCATAGGGTTGGAAGTGTAGAAGGGGAGAGGTGTGAAATTGTTTTCTCAGCTAGCGTTCTTTTACTTCATTTGAATGCATCTGCTGTACTCTTACATTTCTTTATAGACAGCTAAAACTGTCCTGTTGAGAAAAATACTATTTTCATGTTCTGCCAATCTGACAAAAAACCAAACCAAACCAAACCAAACCAAACCAAACCAAACTACAACAAACAAAAACAAAAAACAAAAACAAAACAAAAACAAACAAAACAAACAAACAAACAAACAAACAAAAAACTAAAAAGCAGACTATGGTATTTCCTGGAAAAACAAGGAAAAATTATTGAGAAATCTCCTTTTAATTTTTCACCCCAAAGTACTCCAGTGCTGCAATACATGTTTATAGACTAGTCATAGCTCTTCAACATCCAAATAAGAAGTGTGTTACATTGTATGTGGATACTAAAATACACTGCTGCCAATATATACATAAAGTTTCTAAGAATAAAATTATTACTAATGATAGTTTTACATGCAGACATTTATATTCAGTCTTCTGCATCATCATTTTTTAAGCTTTTTCTGGTTTATTTTCTATTTATTTTTATTTATAGAATTTGATTTATATTGTTGAAATTTAACATTTATTTCTCTCTTTTTCTCTAGAGCACACAAATTCTAAGAATCCATCTTGCTACTAACAGGTTTTCTTTCGCTTTTTGATTTTTTTTTCAGACTTTTGCATTGTCTTTGGTTTCATGTTATTTTATTTCTTGCTTTTTGCAATCTCATTAACATTTTATTAAAGCTTAATAAATGTTTCCTCCATAAATTTTAATGTAGTATTTAAACGGCTCATCCCATATTAATACTGTTTTAACATTTTTAAAGTGTTTTAAATTTTTTTTTTCTCTTCATGAACTAAGTGGCTATTTTGTCTAATTTGTACACTAGGTGGTTGTAAATGCCCTTGTCGGAGCAATCCCTTCTATCATGAATGTATTGCTGGTATGTCTTATATTCTGGCTAATCTTCAGCATCATGGGAGTAAACCTGTTTGCTGGAAAATTCTATCACTGTGTCAACACCACGACTGGTGAGATGTTTGATATCAGTGATGTCAACAATTATACTCAGTGTCAGGAACTCATAAAAAACAATCAAAGTGCCCGATGGAAAAATGTGAAAGTAAACTTCGATAATGTAGGAGCTGGATATCTTGCTCTGCTTCAAGTAGTAAGTAAATTTATATATTTTATTTTTAAGATTCTAGGAAAAAATACTGTTAAATGGTGGAATAATTTCTTTGTAGCAGTGATTTGCAGCTCACACAGCTCTATTGCATTGTTTCTTGTAATTTTTGTATTAATGGTAGTAATTTTCCATTCCAAGGCTAGGGAATACAATCTCATGATGATAATAACACGAAAATAGTGAAAAAGGTACAGGAATCTTTTTAGTGATGCGCAGTATAGAACTATCATATTCCTTAATGTTAATTAAAGAGTCATTATAGTATACTAAATAAGCACTGTGTTACTTACAGTATTATCCTTGTGAAGTATTAGATGTTATCCTATCATATGGAATATTCATCCCATTAATTACTGCTACTTATACAAAATTTGGAAATTGTATTTCCCTTCAATTCCTTATCCTGTGCACTGTGGTACAGAAATGCCTTTGTTCTAAGTACTGAGCATATTTTATTTATGTCAGAGAAACAAAGACCTTAGCTCTTTACAGGCTCCTTGGCTTAGAATGGAGCTTCTGATTGGGTGGGATTGACTGGAAACACAAGCAAGAAAGCATGAAGTTTAGATGATTGGACTTGTGTAGAATCACTTGTCTCTAACTTGACATACAGCTTCATTGAATGAAAAGATGTCAGAAATGTCATGAGATTGTTACAGCTCTGATATTCCAAGTTATCCAAGACTTGTATGCTTGTCCCTTCTATCTCAGGGCAGGTCAGTATCCCTAGTTGACCTTAATTCCAAAATTAACTACCTGGCTTAAAATGTTTTGCCTCTAAAGGCAACGTGACTCCCATGTGCTGAGTAGTAGTACTGACTGATGATTCTGATTCTCTGACTTCAGATCTCATTGCTACTCTTGTACTGGAGGTTAAAGTGAACTGTCTTAGTAGTTGCCTCTGAAGATGTATAAGGAAAACTGCTAGTCTCTTGAAGCTCTGTCTGAATTTCATCCTTATCACATATCCAGACAGTCTTGGCCTTTAATGACTACTTCAATATTGTGAAAATTTTCATTCTTCTTCTCTTTTTTTTTTTTTTTTTCTGTCCTGATTTTCCAAAATTTTCCTTCTCAAATATTCCCTTCTGACTTTTACTTTTCCTGCAGACATTAAGGGATCCTTGAGCATCTTCACCTCTTCACCTGATTGTCTCCATTAACAGTCTCCCTCCACTCTTATTCTGCATTTATTGCTCTCATTTAACTCTCCTCCTTTCCTAATGTTGCTATGCAAAGTTTGCCAAATGGCTGCCAATTGTCAACTGAGCCAGAAAGTTCTGTGGAGCCTGGCTCCAAGCATACCTTCCCAGTAAACTGGTGCTGCACTTCAAGATTCAGGAGGATATGAACACTTCCAGAGTGCAAGTTTTCTGGTGTGAAAACTGGCAACTATACCAAAGCACCAGAGCTACTTCTGGCAAGCACAGATGGAAATATACTCCTTGAGATGGTTCTTCTCCTGAATCTCCTCAGAGTAATGCTCTTTGTCTGTTCATTTCACAGGCTTTTTAGTTCCTTTTTTCTTTATTGGGAAAATATGGCTAGTGACTGTGCACTCACACTTCCACCAGCATATCACACCAACCCTTTGGCGTTCCTTAGAAAGCAGACATTCTGCATCCTTGAAAATCACCTTCTTAGAGCAATGATGACAAATCTTTTTTACTCTTTATATAGACACAGTCTCTCAGCCAGATTCTTATAGATGTTAATCGCAGCTCTTTCACAGTTCACTTTTTGGTCTTCTCTAAAACAAATCTCTCAAGAACCAATGTATATTTTTACTTTGAACAGTCTACCTTTTAGCTATGTGGGATTAAAACATTTCTAAAAATACCATGTCAGTTTAAACACATTAAAAACCATTCAGATGCATGTTGATATCTGTTCCAAAACTTGTATTGCTGATTTCATCAATTCATGCTGTAAACTAAACAAAATGGCTGCAGCCATGGGTGATTCTAGTGGATTCTACCTAAACATCTCTAGCATTAATGTCCTAAGTCTATCATTCTTCACCTGCAAAGTAATCATCTGCAGCTCCAAACACACCGTGGCCTTGCTGAGACCTTCAGAGCCTGGTTTTCAATATTTCTTGAATACTCAAAAAATAAATTCTCAAAAAAACTATGAAAAATGTTTTTATTATACCTGTGTTGTTAGTTGTGGTTTATACATTTAGAACTGATTTTATTAACAGTTACGGTCTAGATAAATAAATAAATAACCTGGTTAATGTCCACATTTTGAATTTTTACAGGGAAGATAAACAACTGTGTTTTATTTCTAGGCTACTTTCAAAGGATGGATGGATATTATGTATGCTGCTGTTGATTCACGAGATGTAAGTATAAGACTTTAAAGATCATCTGTTGGTTATATTCTGATATAGGGTATAGAATTTAAGCACTTACACACAAAATAGCATGAAAAATTATAATCAGCACCAATACACATTTTTTTGATTCTTAGAATTTTTGCTGGAAAGAATTAATCCCACTTCTTCTGTTTGGGTCAAATAAGCTAAAATAACTTAGGGAGACATTTTTTTTGGAAGTGCTAATATTAATGTAAAAGAACAAAGGAGAGTTTTATAACTCATTCCTTTGGTAATCATTGGAATGAATTCATTTAAGATTATATGATGCAGTTATTAAATCTGGAATATATTAATCTTGTTCCATATTTTATGAAGGTGCATTTAATTGTTTCCTTAGGTTGAGCAGTTATGTTATCTAGATATATAGGAACAATGGGATTTTGAGGTTGAAGATCATCTGTTAAGCCTTCTAGAGATTAGAATTTTATCTTGGCTACAAAACTAATACTGTGTTTAACCTGTACAAATACTCATGTTAGTGATATTGTCTCCCAGAGTAAAATATCCTGTTTCATTATCTTCAGCATTTCTACATTGGTGCTCATTCCTGCTGTAGAGGTGCAAATGTTGAGATGTGGAATCCAGAAGAGTCAAGACAATACAAAATCCTCCTTGGCATTTGCCTCAATTTAATGGATTTCACAAAACGTATATTCACTAGAAATGTATTGAAAGCATCTGTTCTTAGCTGGATGTAAGAATGCTCACGCAAGATCAAAAGAGTTCCAGGGAGATTTAGGCAATAGTAAAATTTACTGATTTTGTTGCATGTAAATATACTGAATACAGTATAAAATATTTAGGTTTCTGCTGTTAAAATTTTAAGTACTAATGACTGCTCCAAGTCCCACATTACTTATTCCTTCTATATGAGAAACTTTTTATATATGTACATACACAAACATATCTGTGGGCACATTTACTTGAAAATTCCATATGAGCAATAATTCTGTCAGCTCCCAGTTCTCCAGATATTGATAGGAATGAACATGTTGGCTCTTTTTAATAAATTAGTGCAGTTTATAGCTTTTCTAGCTGGGATAGCATATACTTAGTTATAAATTATATATGTTGGGTTTTACGTCTAGTATTATCATGGGTAATAAAATTTAAAATATTTTGTAGGTAGAAGATCAACCCAAGTACGAGGACAACTTGTATATGTATCTCTATTTTGTCATCTTTATCATATTTGGATCATTTTTCACCTTGAACCTTTTCATTGGTGTCATTATAGACAACTTCAACCAACAAAAAAAGAAGATAAGTATTTAAAATGTTTCCATAGTGCTATAAATTATTAGCTATAATTAATTTATAAGATATTTATTTAAGACTAATAAAAATGAAAAGTAATTCCAAGACCTTGAATAAAAATGTCTCTTTTTTAATAATAATCTGTTTTAAAATCTGTTGATGTAATTTTGACCTTTGCTTTTCAACATTTTGACAAATATAGAGGCACAAATCACGAATCAGTTCATAATAGTTTGGAGACTGTGTAAATAGCTAAAATGAAGATGAAAAAAGGGAATGTGTATTATTAGTTTGATTAGAAGTAATATTATCTGCCATGAAATAATTTTTTTTTCATTAACTTTAAAGTATTACGATAAATTAATTTTAATTAATCATATAAATTGTTGACACTTAATGAAGATACAATTTGGCATTGTGTTCATACAATGGATAATGGATCTGCAAACTGATTAAAGAGTGGGTTAAGAATACATCCAATAGCCCTTACATGAATAAGATTAAAGATACACGTTAAAATGTGTACAAAAGAGCTCTGTTTTTCTAAGAAACACACTTTTGTGAGAAATAAGGTGAAGTCATTAGACAAAAATACCAACTATAATTTCTTATAAATAATAAAGGTATAACGGGAAGGGTGTTTTTTTCTGTATAGATTTGACACAGAAGTAATACTACTGATAATGCATACAATTCTGTTTTAAAGAACTTTTAAAATCTAAAAATACAATTAATCACATTTAAGATGCTTGGAAGCCTCACAATTCTAAGCCTTCAAATGCCAAAAAGAACTAGAACCTGAGGGTCATTCTAAATTTTTGTATGTTGTGAAAAAGCAGTCTAATATGATTTGCATTTATCCAATCACCAAATAAAAAACAGCAGTACTAAACAGAGTATATGATAGAAAATTGTGAACTACAGAAATTTTTCCATATGAAAATATTCTTTAGTTTCCTAAAAGAGTCACAAACATATCTGGGGTTACTTTCTATCAATTATGATGATGCTTCAGGCTGTGACAGCCAGTTTAACAGACAGTGACTTTGACATTGTGCTTCCATCTGACTTAGTGCAGACTCATCAATAAGCACAATTTACTTATACTGAAATTCAGTCAGTCAGTTGCACATCTGACTGGCAGCTTTTGCATCTGCAAACAAGAGCTAATTGGAGTTAGTCAAGGTTCCAGTAGTGTTTGAATTATTAATTTCCTATGGCATGATATGGATTACTTTTCTTAAGTTTATATCAAAGGTGATTTTTTTTTTTGTCATTAAAACCCACAGATGACACACAAATAACCCTCCCTTGACACAACTTGTGTCTCAAAGTTATGCCACTTTTAGACCTGTCTAGCTGTAATCCTAAAAATCCATATAGAATACAGGACATGGAAGACACTAGTCACTCTCCTATTCACTAAACATATCCTATTCAGCAAGGGAGTTACCAGCATCAGTATAGAAAGAACCATTTAAGCTGTGTCAGCAAATGTGAGCACGAAGACACTGGAAAAACTCTACTGTCAACCTGACAAGGCTCTAGTAACGGGGTTTCTCTGTGTGTTAGGAATGTACATGGGCATCCACACTATAAATACCTGAAAAAAACCCTTTTTAAAAAATATAAATAAAGTATACATGTAATGTTTTATTACAGAGAGACATACCATAGTTAAATGGTTTTTTGTGTGGATGTGATAGTAATTAGTTTTGGTATTATTTCTTTACTTTGGAGGTCAGGATATATTTATGACAGAAGAACAGAAGAAATATTACAATGCAATGAAAAAACTGGGATCCAAAAAGCCACAGAAACCTATTCCGAGGCCAGTGGTAAGAGTGATTTGATTCATATACCCCTAATATTAAATACTCGCTTGGGATTATGATGTTAGAGAAAGTTTTATGTCTGGAGAGAAAATATTTTTTCACTTATTTTCTTGTAAATGTAGAATTTGTCCCCTTTTGAATCCAACAGATTAGATCATTCACGTTTCATTTAAAAACATACACTCTGAAGTGTGAACTGTAGGATTTAATGAGGCTAATGTGATACATTTCAAATTTTCCTGCCAAAGTCCTAGAAAATCACAGTTGATTGTACCATTTATTGGTTCTTGTTAGCAGGGATAAACTTCATTTTTTGGTTTTTTTTCTCCTCACAGAGAATTTGTAGGAAATGGGGATGCATTGGCCCTTGCTGCTGAAGACAGAAAGGGGCAGTGGTCACCTAATCTGAAAGAAAAAGACAGATGCAGAAAATCTTAAGGAATAAAAGAATACCCTAGGGAGTAAAGCATAAATTGGGATAAATTTTTCTCTGAGATAAGACACTACTCTTGTTATTTACTGAACTCCTACAGTGTTTGGAAAAAATATACTTGTTGCACCTTATGCACCAAGCAGTTATAAATAGCCTTTCTAAGGAGAGACATATGGCAGTAAACATTGCACTAAGTACTAAAGAAGAACTAGGATATTGCAGCCATGGTATGTTTGAGACATGTAACTTCAGTGGTCTAATGATCTCACCAAGCACAATTAGTTTAAGGAAGAAAGAGGGCTAGCATTCTACAGCCGTCTGAGAATAAAGACAAGAAAATTAGTTTCTATTTGGCTGGTACTCTTGCTGGCTATCAAGTTACATCATCTTTTTTTACACCAAGAATATCAATTATCATTTTTATTACTCTTATTATTGCATTGTTTCCTTTCCTGTCTCTTCAAGTTCAACAGTGTTGAACTTGATTCACTCTAATAGGATGAGACAAAAACCAGCACGAGTTGGGCATATATTAGCACCTGTATTGAGAATGGGTCTTGCTCTGCACTTCTAAATCTTGAAGGGAGTTGCTTTCCCATTGGCATTTTTAAAGTCAGATATTTTCAGAGTGTAAAGTGTATTCCATCTTTGTTTTTGCAGAACAAATTCCAAGGCATGATCTTTGATTTTGTAACTAAACAAGTATTTGACATCAGCATCATGATACTCATCTGCCTTAACATGGTAACAATGATGGTAGAAACAGACGACCAGAGTAAAGAAATGGAAACAATTTTATCTCGGATTAACCTGGTGTTCATTATCCTTTTCACTGGAGAATTTGTGCTGAAACTGATTTCACTTCGACATTACTACTTCACTATAGGCTGGAATATTTTTGATTTTGTCGTCGTCATTCTCTCCATAGTAGGTAAGAGCAATTCCCTTTCTAGAAATAACTAGTGGAAGGAATAGAGGGAGCATTTGTTTC